AGAATTGTTACTCAGGGACAGAGAATTGTTACTCAGGGACACAGAATTGTTACTGAGGGACACAGAATCGTTACTCAGGGACACAGAATCGTTACTCAGGGACACAGAATTGTTACTCAGGGACAGACACAGAATTGTTACTCAGGGACACAGAATTGTTACTGAGGGACACAGAATCGTTACTCAGGGACACAGAATTGTTACTCAGGGACACAGAATTGTTACTCAGGGACACAGAATTGTTACTGAGGGACACAGAATCGTTACTGAGGGACACAGAATTGTTACTCAGGGACACAGAATTGTTACTCAGGGACACAGAATTGTTACTGAGGGACACAGAATCGTTACTCAGGGACACAAAATTGTTACTCAGGGACACAGAATTGTTACTCAGGGACACAGAATCGTTACTGAGGGACACAGAATTGTTACTCAGGGACACAGAATTGTTACTCAGGGACAGACACAGAATTGTTACTCAGGGACACAGAATTGTTACTCAGGGACACAGAATTGTTACTCAGGGACACAGAATTGTTACTCAGGAACAGACACAGAATTGTTACTCAGGGACACAGAATTGTTACTGAGGGACACAGAATCGTTACTCAGGGACACAGAATTGTTACTCAGGGACACAGAATTGTTACTCAGGGACACAGAATTGTTACTCAGGGACAGACACAGAATTGTTAATCAGGGACACAGAATTGTTACTCAGGGACACAGAATTGTTACTGAGGGACACAGAATCGTTACTCAGGGACACAGAATTGTTACTCAGGGACACAGAATCGTTACTCAGGGACACAGAATTGTTACTGAGGGACACAGAATCGTTACTCAGGGACACAGAATTGTTACTCAGGGACACAGAATCGTTACTCAGGGACACAGAATTGTTACTCAGGGACACAGAATTGTTACTGAGGGACACAGAATCGTTACTCAGGGACACAGAATTGCTACTCAGGGACACAGAATTGTTACTCAGGGACACAGAATCGTTACTGAGGGACACAGAATCGTTACTCAGGGACACAGAATCGTTACTCAGGGACACAGAATTGTTACTCAGGGACACAGAATCGTTACTCAGGGACACAGAATTGTTACTCAGGGACACAGAATTGTTACTGAGGGACACAGAATTGTTACTCAGGGACACAGAATCGTTACTGAGGGACACAGAATCGTTACTCAGGGACACAGAATTGTTACTCAGGGACACAGAATTGTTACTCAGGGACACAGAATCGTTACGTTATTTTTGGGTTGCTTATAGAATTAAAGAGTATGTCAGACAACACGCAGAGGAATGGCAGAGGAGGCAATGTTTCAGGAGCGAGCAGACGTGGCAGCAGAGGAAGGGGTCGAGGCAGCACTAGTCGCAGCCAGAGGCCAGTGCTCCCGGTGTCATCCAGCGGTCGTGTCTCCACCGACAACCCTGCCGTCATCGATTGGTTGGCTCGGTCGTCTTCCTCTTCCCAGGTCACCTCTGACACCTACAGCCAACGGTCGGTGGGTACGTCAGACACAACCGTTAGTTGGCATGGCCCGGGAGCAAGCCCACTGAAATCACGTGTCCTCGACCTGCCCCTGTCCTTTGGTGTTCCCTCACCAAGCGAAGTATCGCATGCTGTGGGCTCAGCCCCACTGTACAGTGAGGAAGAGCTAACAGAGGGCGGTCAGGAACGGGGGGAGACATCCGCCTCTTCAGCAGCCAGGCGAAGAAGTAGTGGCGAGGAGAGTGGCTCGGTAGCCGGTCTAGAGACAGGTCTGTCTCCTGACCCACACGCAGCCGAGGGGGCTAGTAGTGAGGCGGAGACCCTAATTGATGATGATGAGGCTGATCGCACTTGGCAGCCTTGTCGTCATCAGGCTATTGCTTCCGCATCATCAGGAGAAGAGGGTGCCAGCTTGGCAGCAAGCAAAACAGTCGGTGGGTTGCCCAGGAGGCAGCAGGGTCGCAGCAGTGTCAGTGGAGGCAAACGGCCACGGAGTAGAGCACCAGCTCCACTGCAGCCTACCACCACGGCCAGTAGTGGTGCCGGTGTGCACGGAGGAAGTAGCAGTCAGCCAGTGAGGAGTAGCGGGGGCAAAGTTTTCTACTCAGCGGTGTGGCAATTTTTCGTCAAGCCGCCCGAGGAAGTAAAACGTAGCCGTATGTCGACTATGTGGCCAGAAAGTCAAGCGTGGCCAGGGGGCCCATGTTGGGACTACAGCGTTGCGTCAGCATATGCAGCGTCGCCATTCGGTGGCCTGGGAAAAACCGTGATAAAGATACGGCGGTTCTGCCTGCCCCAGCCCCCGCTCCATCACCCGCTCCGTTACTTGCTCCGTCACCCGACGTCAATCGCCCTCTATCAGCCAGTCAAGGCTCCAACACCTCTGCTGAGGGGGAGTTGTCGCTCGTTGGCATCTTCCGCTCGTTCAGATGCTCCTTCTCCTGCTACTCCTCTTCACGGATTCCGTCAGCAGTCTTTCTTGGAATCCGTTTCCAAGAGACAACAGTTTGCGAGCACGCACCCGACGGTGCAGAAGCTGAACGTCCTCCTGTCCAAGTTGCTGGTGCTGCAGTCCCTCCCTTTCCAAGTGGTGGACTCAGCACCTTTCCGAGAAATGATGGCTTGTGCCGCGCCGCGGTGGAGAGTGCCAAGCCGGCATTTCTTCGCCAAAAAGGCAGTGCCAGCCCTGCATTCACATGTAGAAGAGATGGTGGGCCAGTCTTTGAGCATGTCGGTCTCTGCCAAAGTGCACGGCAGCGCCGACGTGTGGAGCTGTAACTACGGTCAGGGACAGTACATGTCATTTACGGCCCACTGGGTGAACGTGGTGCCGGCACAGCCGCACCAGCAACTTGGACAGGTCACGCCGCTTTTGCCTCCACGTTTGCACGTCCTTGGTCCAGCAAAGATGTCCGCCTCTACCACCTCTTCTTCCGCCGTGTCCTCAGCCGCCACCCCCGTGCCAAGTCCCATTACCCGACCGGCATATCACATGTGCAGGGCGCAACGGTGTCACGCTGTGCTGCACCTGGTATGCCTTGGCGAACGTAGTCACACAGGGGAGGAACTTCTGAGTGTAATGAACAGAGAAATCGACAGATGGCTGTCTCCGCGCAAACTGAAAATCGGAACCATGTTGACGACAACGGAAAGAACATGGTGTCTGCTCTGCGTCAAGGAAGGTTGTGCCATGCGCCATGCATGGCTCACGTGTCAATCTGGTTGTCAAGCGGTTCCTAAAATCCACCATCCCACTGCAAGACATCCTTAAAATGTCACGTAAACTTTGCATGCATTTCAGCCATTCCTACACCACAAAGCACACCCTCCTTGAGCTGCAGCGGCAGAACGGAATTCCACAGCATCGCCTGATCTGCGACGTTGCAACAAGGTGGAATTCAACCCTACATATGTTAGACCGCCTTTATGAACAGCGAAAGGCCATCACCGATTTTCTGATGTTATAAGCGGATAAAGGTACTCCCCTGTGTAACTTAGATGTCAGCCATTGGCAGCTCATGCGTGACACCTGCCGCTTGCTCAGGCCCTTTGAGGAGGCCACGCTATTCGTGAGTCGGCAGGACTATGGGATGAACGACGTCATTCCTCTGTTGCACGTCCTGGAACAAATGCTGTTAACAATGGCTGGTCAGGGTGCGGTAGACGTGGCGCACAGATCTCAACGCCACATGACCCCTGTGGGGGCAGGACAGGAAGAAGAGGAGGAGGTAGAGGAGGACATTGGTGCTCAGGGAATTATTGAGTGAAATGGGTGGTTTTTCCACTCAGCGGACAGGAGTGGAGGAGCAGGAGCATCTGGTAGAGGAGGAGGAGGAGACAGAGGACCCAGACGCACCGTGGCAGTATGCTGTGGAGATGGAGGCAGGGAGTCCCTCGCATTCCTTGGCACAAATGGCCCATAGCATGCTCGGTTGCTTGCGTAGCGACAGCCGAATAATAACCATCAGACAGAGGGATGACTTTTGGCTGTCCACCTTGTTGGACCCTCGCTACCGTTCAAAAATGGTGGCCTTTTTCACACCTGCTGAGAGGGAGGCCAAAATAAAGTACTATAAAAACCACCTATGTAGTCAGTTGGTCTCTGCCTTTCTGCGCCAACGTCCATCCTCAGACACTGTGGGCCCTGTGCGCTCGCGTTCCGCTGCCATGGCAGCAGGGGAGGGGTGGGGTGGTAGGAGCAGTGGCAGCTCCACCAGCAGCGGCTGCCTCAGTCTGCAGTCGATGATGAGTAGCTTTCTTCACCAGCGCAGTGAGGAAACTACTAACCAGCCGCAGCAGCAGCAGCAGCATCAGGTGGACCTGGAGCAGGACCTCAAACAACAGGCTTGGGCCTACTTGGACAGCACCCTGCCAACCGAGGTAGACAATCCCCTTGACTACTGGGCAACGAAACTTGACCTTTGGCCCCAACTAGCTGAATTTGCCCTTGAAAGGCTGTCATGCCCGGCCAGTAGCGTGGCATCGGAGCGCGTGTTTAGTGCGGCAGGAGGTATTTTAACTCCGCGGAGGACACGACTGTCCACCCAAAGTGTGGAGAGACTCACGTTTGTGAAAATGAATCAGGCGTGGATTAGTCTGGATTTCAAACCACCAGTTCCTGACACAACTGACTAAATCCGCCATGAATCATGCCCCAAACATGTTATTATTTTTAACATAGGCCTCTGTATGGCCTTCAATTTAAGCTGCTTACGCTTCGCCACTCTGCCATGGGCCCCTGTACCGCCTCCTCTTGCTGCTGCCAGGTCCAGAGTGTGTCATGGGTCCCTGTACGGCCTCCCATTGCTGCTGTCTCCATCGCCACACTCTGCCATGTGCCACTTTCAGGTCTCCTCACACTGCTGGTGGGTTCCATTTTGTCATAGGGTGCTGGCAGATTACGGGCCTCCCATTGCTGCTGCCAGGCCCGTAATCTGCCATGGGCCCCCGTACCGACTCCTCATGCTGCTGCCAGGCCCGTAATCTGTCATGGGCCCCTGTACCGCCTCCTCATGCTGCTGCCAGGTCCAGAGTGTGTCATGGGTCCCTGTACGGCCTCCCATTGCTGCTGTCTCCATCGCCACACTCTGCCATGTGCCACTTTCAGGTCTCCTCACACTGCTGGTGGGTTCCATTTTGTCATAGGGTGCTGGCAGATTACGGGCCTCCCATTGCTGCTGCCAGGCCCGTAATCTGCCATGGGCCCCCGTACCGACTCCTCATGCTGCTGCCAGGCCCGTAATCTGTCATGGGCCCCTGTACCGCCTCCTCATGCTGCTGCCAGGTCCAGAGTGTGTCATGGGTCCCTGTACGGCCTCCCATTGCTTCTGTCTCCATCGCCACACTCTGCCATGTGCCACTTTCAGGTCTCCTCACACTGCTGGTGGGTTTCCATTTTGTCATAGGGTGCTGGCAGATTACGGGCCTCCCATTGCTGCTGCCAGGCCCGTAATCTGCCATGGGCCCCCGTACCGACTCCTCATGCTGCTGCCAGGCCCGTAATCTGTCATGGGCCCCTGTACCGCCTCCTCATGCTGCTGCCAGGTCCAGAGTGTGTCATGGGTCCCTGTACGGCCTCCCATTGCTGCTGCCAGGCCCGTAATCTGCCATGGGCCCCCGTACCGACTCCTCCTGCTGCTGCCAGGCCCGTAATCTGTCATGGGCCCCTGTACCGCCTCCTCATGCTGCTGCCAGGTCCAGAGTGTGTCATGGGTCCCTGTACGGCCTCCCATTGCTGCTGCCAGGCCCGTAATCTGCCATGGCCCCCCGTACCGACTCCTCATGCTGCTGCCAGGCCCGTAATCTGTCATGGGCCCCTGTACCGCCTCCTCATGCTGCTGCCAGGTCCAGAGTGTGTCATGGGTCCCTGTACGGCCTCCCATTGCTGCTGCCAGGCCCGTAATCTGCCATGGGCCCCCGTACCGACTCCTCATGCTGCTGCCAGGCCCGTAATCTGTCATGGGCCCCTGTACCGCCTCCTCATGCTGCTGCCAGGTCCAGAGTGTGTCATGGGGTCCCTGTACGGCCTCCCATTGCTGCTGTCTCCATCGCCACACTCTGCCATGTGCCACTTTCAGGTCTCCTCACACTGCTGGTGGGTTCCATTTTGTCATAGGGTGCTGGCAGATTACGGGCCTCCCATTGCTGCTGCCAGGCCCGTAATCTGCCATGGGCCCCCGTACCGACTCCTCATGCTGCTGCCAGGCCCGTAATCTGTCATGGGCCCCTGTATCGCCTCCTCATGCTGCTGCCAGGTCCAGAGTGTGTCATGGGTCCCTGTACGGCCTCCCATTGCTGCTGTCTCCATCGCCACACTCTGCCATGTGCCACTTTCAGGTCTCCTCACACTGCTGGTGGGTTCCATTTTGTCATAGGGTGCTGTATGGCCTCCCATTGCTGCTGCCTCCACCGCCACACTGTGGCTCCACACTCTGGTTTTGGCCCCGTGACTGCCCAAATGAGTGAAGTGTGCGGTGATTCTAAGATCGACGGCACTCATCTGCATGTCATACTGACTGACAGTATTATTTCTCTTCCCCAGCAGACTCCAAGGGCATTTAAATTAAAGGTACAGTGTTCTGCACTAATATAAAGGCTCTCTGAAGCCTAGAAACACCCTTTTTATAAGTTAAATTCGCAGCGAATATATTCGCCTCGAATCGAATTTATTCCGCGAATTCGCCGAATCAGCCGAATCGAATTTTTGAATACTTCGCTCATCTCTAACAGTATTATATTCTGTGCTGTAAATTTACTACAGTTAATTTAAATGTGTGTGCCTAGGGAGAGTGGAGTGTAAGCCCATCTACATTCACTGTGATTTTCGCAGACCCAATAGTGCTTTTAGGACTTTTTTTTCAGTGTCAGGCTCTGTTGCTGTGTTGCTGCTGTTTCCACAGCCCCCCCCCCTTTTTTTTGAAGGGGGGGGTGTTCTTAAATTAAATAAATAAAGGTTTTATTTCACTTGTAGTGTTTTCTGGTGACTGTCTGGGATTAATTTTTTATCTAATTATAGCTTCTATTGAGTGTGAGCTTTGTATTATTTGGGTTTTATTTTGTCAAGGTCTTTTATTTTCTTCTTTATTTTCTTCTTCTTTACTTCTTCAACAGAGTACATCTGTTGGTGACACCATAACAAGCACCCTTTGCTTGCAGGAGAGCACTACAGAATCATTAATGTGCTGTGTATTTCACCAGAGAACCAGGGGCGGACTGACCATTTGGAAACTCGGGCAATGCCCGAGGGCCCAGGGTCAGTAGGAGGCCCCATGAGATACCCCTGGTACCTTTTTCATAGTTTTTTTTTGAGTTCGGGCAAGGACACAGGGGCCCCATGATCCCCTATTGCCCGGGAGCCCCATGAGTTGTCAGTCCGCCCCTGCAGAGAACCAAAGTTTAGAGTGCACCCAAGCACCACAGTTTATAGTGCACTCAAGCAACACTCCCCCCCCATACAAATCTTCCAATAGCTACAGAAAAAGTAGGACATAAACCCCACATTATAAGCATCATGTCTAGAGGAAGAGGCAGAAGTTCCCATGCAGCTATGCCAGAAAAAGGAGGCCAAAGCAGTGGTGCAATATCTGCAGACAGGGCTATTTTGCCATTTTTTTGGGTGGGGTGGTGGCACTGGATATGCTATATGGCCCAAGCACGCAGAGGAATGGTGGAGCAACTAACCATGCATTCATCACCCTCCTCTTCTGACACCCAGGTGCAGACTAGCTCGTAGTCCTACACAGCTGCCAAAGAACCCTATTCTGACTTCTCCATGCACAGATTATCCCTCTCCTCTGCCTTGCTAACTGTTAGGGAGGAGTATGCAGGGCTGTTTAATTACAGCAAAATGCCAGTTGCTGGAAAAAGTTACACAGAAATTAGTGGCCATTGTAGTTGTAGTTGAGCAGGAGAATAACAAAAGCCTAGAGGGAGAGGACACCAGGCTGGAAGAACCAGCAATGAGGGGAGAGGGAATGATGTATCTGACTATACGTGGGTACCCAATAGAGCAGAGAAGGAAAGTGAGGGAGAGGTACAACCCACTGAGGCAGGATTTCATCCATGCGTAGATCACAAAGAAAAGGAGGGAGCAGCTGTCCTGCTCCATGAGATGCCAGACCTCCATGGGTGCAGGGCACTGTGGTCCCTCTGGTCCACCACTGAGAGATCACCTACATGGGTTCTTTTCAGCATGTGTGCTGCAGACGGCAACATTGTTATTTGCAGTCTCTGTCTCCAGTGTATCAAACATGGCAATACCACCATTTGCATGTATAAAGAGACTTCTAACCTCTCACAACACAGTTCATTAGGAAGAGCACCAGTATACTAGTCATCAGGAAAAGGACTGCATTCCCCCTCCTCCTCCTTTTTCCAAATCTGCTCCCACTATATATGATTCCCTCACAGCAACTTCCAGTGATCCAGAGATGACGGTATATCAAGAGGTTCCAGAGGTCCACCCTATGGCTCCTCCAGCAAGAAAGAGAGTCTGCATGGGGCTACCCAGAGTTGGGGCAAGTGTAGACTCCAACCTTGCTCTGATTATGCCAACCATACCTCACCAGCTGAAGCTGCCCCACCTGCTAGAACAGAAAAAAAAAACCCAAACCCCCAGCCACTCCTATGTTTAGCGCCTAAATGACAGCTTGGCCAAATTGCTGGTTTTACAACTCTTGCATTCCAGCTAGTAGATTCTCCCATCCTAGGGACAATGCTGAATACCAAAGTGCAGTAACCCATCACAACAATATTTCTCTTTCATTAGTTTATAGATGAAAGACGATTGCTTTCTACAGATTAACTTGCTGTGCACATCAGTCTTTCTGAATGACAGATGATAATACATTTAGCAAATGAAGTTATAAAATACAGATGATTTCAGAATACTGCATTAATCAATCACTGCAAAAATAATTTCTTTCTATGTTTATCCTGTTTCTAAAATGTATTGAAGTAGTTATAAGACTCAAAACACAGTAAACAAAGGTCATCTGTTTGCCAAATAAGAAGAGAAAACTAAAAAAAAAAAAGCTTTATATTTTCATTCCTCATCGTGCCAACATTTCATGCTGTGAATTGCTCTAGATGCTCTCAAGTTTATTTTTTGAAGAATATTTTAGTGAAACAACTTTATTCTTTCTTGTCTATTTGCTCCATTCCTCTGTGCAGTCAGTTTTTGGAACCCTGGGGTAAGGGTCTTGACAGTAAGCAGTTAAAGGAGGCTTTTAACAACTAGATTCACTGTTTATATTTCTTATGTCGTGAAGCATCTTAGAGTACTTTTCTGAGTGAACGATAAAAAATATGTTATGCTTTTTCCTTTTGATATTTGTTTTTTAGAGATATGCCGTTGTTTTATTGATGTAGCTCTCTAAAATCAAGTCATAAAATGGAAATGTATATACAGTATTGTGTTTGTTTTATTTTTGCAAGTGCTTGTATGCATCATGTCAGCTGACTACACTAAGGGGTTTTATGGATCATTTAAACTGTAGGTAGTTGGATAAACTCAATGTACTTTAGTAAAAGCTTTTCTATGTGGAATCAGCGCATTCTCATGTAAAGAGATTAAGAAGCAATGTATAATTAGGTTCAAGTGTTTCTTTTTCCAGTTGTGTGTCTCTCCTAAGAGACAGGTGCAAACATCTGCCTAACACAGATGTTATGTGTGCTGTAATGTGGCTTCCTAGATATGTGCATATATTAGGTTTTAATTGCAGATTGCATAGCCTGCATATCCAAGCATTTAAAAAAAAAAATTCTAGGTTAATTACAGCAGTGGTTTCTCAGTTTGTGCTGTTAATACAGTTGAAGTCAGATTGCTTAAGGCTTTCTGAAAAGTAATAATTACTTTGTGAACAGGGAAGATGAAATGTTCATATTATATAGAAACATTTTATGCCACGGTCAGCAGTATATAATAGAGAAGTGATTTTCCTTATTTCCTCAAGGTAAAATTAAGGTAGTAATCTAAAATGAAAATACCCATTCACTCTCAGGTAAATGAGTGTTCACAAAATGTAAACCTATAATGCAAAACTGAGAACTCTCAATAGGGCCTAAATAAGCGCTTAAGTGCTACACATTGAGCTAAAGAATGAAAAAGAAATCTGCATAGAATTAAAGCTGAAGTATACAGATATATGGGTTGCTTTAACTGACAAAATATTTGTATTTCTGCTCATCCAGTTCTGAGGCTTACACACAACTCTGTCTGGCAGAATGAGAAATCTAACTTTTCCCTGATATGGTTCAGTAGCACTTATTGTCCACACCAGCCCTGACCAAGGCTGGTGTCTGCTGCTTGCCAGTAGTGAGGGATGGTGTTTCGCTCAAGGCACTATTTACCTTTTTTTTTTCTTTAACTTTATTGTAATGTCACAAAGGGATTGAGTTAATAAAGGCAAATAGATTGTTGCATTCTGTAAGTGCAGTTGGACTTGTTTCCTTATTAACCACTTGCCAACATCGCTATAGCCGAATTACAGCTACAGGGCGGTTGTCCAGTTCTGAGAGGGCATCATATGACATCCTCCCAGAATGCACCCTCCCACGCGCCCCCAGTGGCGTGCACCCGGCACTCTCCTTGATTGTTGTGTTCTACGGACACAGCTGATCATATGATGAGGTAAAAGGCCAACCACAGCGGCCTTTTACCACGTGATCAGCTTTGTCCAATGACACAGCAGATCAAGGAGTAAACACAGTTTACTCATGCTGTCACAGCATGAGGAAAGTACTGGCAATAACTGGCAAATGACACAGAGGACATCTGCACTGATCATCAGGGCACCGGTGATCAGTACCCTGATGATCAGTGCCCAGCAATGCTGCCCACCAGTGCTCATCAGTGGCCAGCAGTGCCACCCATCAGTGGCCAGCAGTGTCACCAGGGGTGTATTTACCACAAGGCAAACAAGGCATTTGCCTAGGGCGGCATTTTTTAGAGGGGCAGCACTGCCCCCCGAAAGAAGGGACATAAGTGGCATGGAGACCAGTTGAGATCCGAGAGAGGCTGTGGGCTGCTTGGTGGTGTATGCAGAGCCCAGCTGTTGTTCCTGGGGATGGCCAGAGTTGCTGATGGGGGCGGTTGTTAGTGGAAGGTTCTCTCGGGGGGCAGCACAAAACCTAAATACACCACTGAGTGTCAACCATAAGTGCCCAGCAGTGCCACCCATCAGTGCTGCCCAAAAGTGCTGCATAGCAGTTGCGCCCAGCAGTGCTACCAGTCAGTGTTGTCAGTCAGTGCCACCAGTCAGCACCGCCCATCAGTGTTGCCCATCAGTGCAGCATTATCAGTGCCTCCTCATCAATACCCACCAGTGCTGCCTATCAGTGCCCATCAGATCTGCCTCATCAACGCACATTAGTGAAGGAGAAAAATTAACTGTTTGCAAAATTTTATAATAGAAACAAAGAAATACTATTTTTTTTCAAATTTTTTGCTTTTTTTTTGTTTATAGTGCAAACAATAAAACACCCAGTGGTGATTAAATACCACCAGAAGAAAGCTTTATTTGTGTGAAAGAAATGATAAAAATGTCATATAGATACAGCGTTGTATGACCGTGCAATTGTCATTCAAAGTGCAACAGCACTGAAAACTGAAAAATGGCCTGGGCACAAAGGGGGTAAAAAGTGCCTGGTAGGCAAGTGGTTAAAGTGTTTGTAAACCCTGACATTTACCCAGTGCAGTGATTAAACAAATGCTACTACATAAGTTTTACTTGCTTATCTGCAGTTTTCTCTTCTCTACGTCCATTCAAAAAGTGCAGAATTTATACAGCTTGTCTGAGGTTTCAGAAAGCAGCGGGTGGAGAGCTAAAAGTACACACTGCAGAGCTCAGTGGGTAGAGCTGAGAGCTGATTGGAGGGAAGAGACACTCCCCCCTTCACACAGCACACAGGAACAGAGCTAAGGCTTTCAGTTTGCTGGAGATCCCTCCCCTGTCACCTTTTTTCTCCTGGTGTCAGGAAAACTTGTCAGAAGTGGCTCAGGCAGATAGCAGAGGAACAAAGCAACAGACAGAAATGACACTTAGTGCTTTGCATTGAGACAAATACACACTATAGGGGTATATGCTTTATTCATATTTCATGTCTGAGGTTTACAACCACTTTATATATAATGTGGTTAGGCTTCACTTTGTAACAATTACCCAACCAGGAGCAAAGAAAAGTGACTGACACTGATAGGCGGCACTGACTGGCACTGTTAGGTGGCACTGACAGGCACTAATGCACACTGATAGGCGGCACTGACTGGCACTGATAGGTGGCACTGATTGGCAGCACTGATAGGTGGCACTGATGGGCATTGACAGGCATCACTGATGGGCACTGAAAGGAAGCACTGACACATGGCACTGATAGGCGGCACTGACTGGCACTAATAAGTGGTACTGATTGGCAGCACTGATAGGTGGCACTGATTGGCATTGATAGGTGGCACTGACTGGCACTGATGGGTGACACTGAATGGCAGCTCAGATGGGCACTGATATGTGGCATTGATGTGCCCTGGTATGCACTGATATGTGGCATTGATGTGGCACTGATGGGCACTGGCACGTGGCACTGATGGACACTGACAGGTGGCACTGCTGGGGCTACACTGATCATCAGGGCACACTGATCATCAGTGCCCTGATGTTCAGTGTACATGTCCCCTCTGCGGAAAGCCGATTACCGGCTCTCCTCTGTCCGCGTGACAGCTCGAGAGGAGAGAAATGCCGATAACCGGCATTTCCCTGTTTACATGTGATCAGCTGTGATTGGACACAGCTGATCACGTGACCGAGCTGACATCTTCAGCTCTTTCCATGATCGGTGATCCGCTGTGTCCGAGGGACACAGCGCTCTGCCGGTCGCCGCGCGCTCCCTGAGCCGCGCATGCGCGGAGAATGGGAGGACGTCATATGAGCCAATTACGGCAAGTGATGTATTCTATTAATGAATACAGAGCCTGCTCGGATTGGCTGCATCAGAGAGGCGGGCTGATGATGTCACAACTTCAGCCAATCCGAGCAGGCTCCGTATTCATTAATAGAATACATCGCTCATCGTGATTGGATCAGTGCGGTATACTGTATGTAGCCAAAGCTACTGTACAGTATTACCACACATCCAGCGGGCTGACATTCTATACCCCACGTATAAGATGACCCCCAATTGTTGGGGTATGTTTTTAAGTATAAAAAGTCGTCTTATACGCCGGAAAATACGGTACATTTCAGTACAGAAGGAATAGGAGGGCCCTCCTTGTGGTGCTTACAATCTAAAGGAAGGGGGATGTGGTACAAAAGGTGATAGCTGTAGGCCAGGGGTGTCAAACTGGTGGCCCTCCAGATGTTGCAAAACTACAAGTCCCATCATGCCTCTGCCTTTGGGAGTCATGGTTGTAACTGTCAGTCTTGCAATGCCTCATGGGTCTTTGGCAACAGCTGGAGGGCTACCGGTTGATTTACTAAAACAGGAGAGTGCAAAATCTGGTGCAGCTGTGTTTGGTATCCAATCAGCTTCTAACTTTACCTTGTTCAATTAAGCCTTGACAGCCAGATTTTGCACTCTCCAGGTTTAGTAAATTAACTCAGCTCTATTGTGGAAAGTTTAGCTCAGGAGACGGTGCTTTGGTCCTCCTCTCCAGCTTCCTGCACATTGCTAATGGTCACCTAATGTAATGGTCGTCTTACTAACCAGTTGTGTGATGCAGCAGAGGTTGGTCCAAGGTGCCAACTTCCAAACTGAGGTCAGTAGTTGGACTACCCAGTATTGGAGTACCCAGGGTTTCACAGCTCCCATGGAGCTCTAATAGTTAGACACAGGTATACAAATATCACACATACTGTACCTTTCACTAGAAATGTGATCTCTAGCATGTGCTGCAGGAAAAAATCAACCCAATTTATTATTATGCAAATACTAATAATTATATTAATGGTTGGAAGACTGAAGTGACAACAGCTTCTCTTTATTTTCCTAGTTATGTGAGAATTACTCCTTTAACCCCTTCAAACAAATATACAACCTCACAGAACTGGGCTTTTTCCGTGGGGCAACATATTTGCGTGCCTATCTTTGTGCTGGGTACGCGCTCCCAGCACAAAGACTGGGGTGTAACTGAGAGCCCCGGGTCCCGTTCTAACAATCGGAACCCGGAACTCCAGATTCCGGGTCACATGATTGCTGTGATAGCCTCTGATTGGCTATCACAGTGATCAGTCACTGTGAAGCCCTCCCCCTTGTTTTTTTTTTCTCTCTCTGAATGGAGGAGAGAGATATATTGTATCTCTCTCCTTGCAGATAGAAAAAAAAAAAACAACTGTTTGTAAAAAAAAAAAAGATAAATAAAGATAAATAAATAAATGTTAAAAAATAAATGAAAAAATAAAGAAAAACTACCTATGATCTAGTTCAGTGCCAGGGTTAGTGTTTGGGCCAATGTAAAAAAAAGTTGCAAAATTGTGCTTAGGCGTTAAGATTTTTTTTACCCTTAGGTGTGAAGGGGTTAAGAAAACTATCTCTTATATGCATTTAATCTCTAGTTTCTTATTGAAGAACAGCTGTTTTTATATGCAATGGAAGTCTACCGAGAATGACTCAAAGCCTTTTCCAAAGCAAGGATAATTTAAAAGACAAAACCTTACTGGCCGTGTAAGTAAAATCAGGAACTTCTTTTTTACTTCAAGCAATATTAAAAACCAAAACCAGAAATGTAATATGTTGCAGTTTACCAATAGGTGTGGTAGCTGCATTGATTTTCTTTTAGTCTTTTTTGCCTCCATTTTCACTGGGTGATTTGGCCAGAAACACACCTCCTGTATTAGAGTGCCCTTACACTTGATGAAGAGCACCTTTGGATAGCAGCATTGTCATTCTAGGGGAAGTGGAGTGTTAACTATACTAGCATATTGAACTACACTAACAAATTGAAGCCAAAAGCCAACTAACCTTTGTCCTTTTAGAATAAAGGTTTTACATAAATAAAAACTGATCATTGTATGCTCCCCTGCCAATAGTATATGGTTTTTATCCTCCCTGTAACTGAAACATCTTCAGGAGAGCTTGTTCTTTTGAAAAACAACAGACTTTACTGGCCAGATCATCACATGAAAAAAAGAAGAAAGAAAGCCAAAATAAGAAACCTATTGCAGCCATCACATAGTAACATAGTTAGTCTGGCTGAAAAAAGACAAAAGTCCATCCAGTTCAACCATAGAAAGAAAAAGTTATAATCCTATACCCACAGTTGATCCAGAGGAAGGCAAAAAAAAAAACCCTAGCAAAGCACGATCCAATTTGCTCCTGCTGGGAAAATTTTTTTTACCTGATCCCCGAGAGGCAATCAGATATTCCCTGGATTCCTGGATTACATGGAAGATGTAAGCTGCAATATAATAAAAGTTTTCTTTCGGGTTTAATACTGCTTTCAGTCTTTGTAAATAGCCATGTGGATTTTTGTGAAGCCATGCTTTCCATCTGCCAGATGTTTATGCCTGTATAGGAGGAACCCAAGTCTACAAGTAAGCATCTCTCGTTATGTATTCACATTATCTACAGCAGCATTTACTAAAAGTCTGTAGAATACTGCATGACCAGAATAGTAATGATCCATAAATGCATTCATTTCTAATCAGAAAACAGTTACATTATTTTTTACCATTTCATCTTGAAGCCTGCTACTTATCATATTGTGAAAAATGAAACCATGTCAGCTTGTTCAATGCAAAGCCTGTATAAATGGCAGGACATCTGCTCATTACATGATTAGTTAACCTTTAGGGTAACTTTAAATTAGCCATAATAATATAGTTGTTTACATTAATTAATTTTGGCATACACAGATTATATTGCAGTTCAGTTTCCACTTGAATATTTGATGAGCCTTAGCATATATATGTTTTTGAAACATTTATACAGCATTCCAGTCAAGATAGAAAGCCCTATTTCCATTCTGAATATCTATCTATCTATCTATCTATCTATCTATCTATCTATCTATCTATCTATCTATCTATCTATCTATCTATCTATATGCTTTAACAAAGCCTACCTGCCCCATGTGGGAAAAAACCAAATGTCATCTTCAGTTCTGTAGCTCTTATAAATACAAGATCCTCCTTTGGAGCTCATTCAATTTGTGTGGTGCGGATTGAAGCTTAGGTTTCACAGCTAATTGACACAGTGGTTGTTCACCGTTTCAGGTTTACATCAGGTTCAGGTTTACATATATGCGGTTTAGAAACGGTTCCCATAGAAGTCAATAGCCTGTAATCCGCACCTGAACCTGAAGGCACTGCTCAGAAATTGGATATGACTCTTTTTCAATCTGCACTGAATCTGCACCGGCCATGCACTGGACATATGTGAACAGGTACCCTAGGAATCAATGTTATTTCACGTCATGAGGATTGGATGTGGTTCAAACCACATCCAATCTGCATGTGAACTGGCACTGACTCTCTCTGACCCTTTTGTTATGAGGTTGCTGAAATCTGTGCATTTACAGGAAATACAATAGAAATAAGTGGGCTGCCATTAATGAATGCTTGCTACCCATTCTGCATACCCATTCTGCATACTTGTTTTTGATCAGTAACCTATTGAAGCTATTGGGTCAGCATGACTCTCAAGCACATAATAGTTTCAAAGAAAGCTCAGCAATGGCAGCTCACAAAAAGGTTGTTGAAGCCAGAGGCATAGCTAGGGGGGTAAATATGTACCCGGGCGCCAAGGTACAGGGGCACCAAAATGAGGCTTACAACCGGGGGCATATTTGCCGCGAGGCAAACAAGGCGTTTGCCATGGGCAGCACTTTTTAGGGGGGCGTGCCACCCCCTCTTCCAAAGGAAGGGTCACTTAGTACAGGGGCGGGCAGCGGGCTGCTGTGTCTTACCTGGCTCCGTGTCCCAGTCCCAAGGCGATCCAGTCCAGGAGGTGCTGCTGGAGGAGGGGTAGAGAGGTCCGGTGTCTTCTTTTCCCTGGACGCGATGTGTGGGCAGGATGTCATGTTGCCCCTGTCATCTGGCCACACCCTCAGGATCACTGGACAGCCTATGGCAGCTTGTACCTCCCTCTGTAAGCTCCACCTCCTCACCGGTGATTGGGCGCCAGAACTGTAGCTCAGGAAAGACACACAGGCGGCCAATCACCTGCGAGGAGGTGGAGCTTGGAGAGGAGGAGCTGAGCTGCAGCGTGAAGATCGAGTGAGGGAGCGGCCGGAGCAAGTGAAGAAGACAGCTGACCGGTAAGTGTGCCGTGCAGATGGTGCTGCTGCAACCAGGTATGCTGGCTGTGGATGGGAGAGGGAAGGAGCCTAGGCTGGAGTAGGGGTCAGCAAAGTAAGTGTCATTGGTGTCAGTGGGAGGAATAGTGCCCCATCATTGGTGTCATTGATGTGATTAAAGCGGGAAGGGGGCTGGGGCGCCAATTTTATAGTTCGTCCCCGGGCGCAAAATATCCTAGCTACGCCTCTGGTTGAAGCTAGGCTGTGTGTCTGACCACAGATTTAAATTTTTTTTAAATTGAATGTAGGTTTTGCTTAGAATTTTCCTTTTAATGATATGCCACCATATCAATAGAATAGATAAGGGTTAGAACACCTGACAGGGTGTTATTGCTAGGGAGGTTTATCTGCCTATTTCTCCTACTGGTCACTGTCTCAGAAATACACTGCTCAAAAAAAATTAAAGGAACACTTTGAAAACACATCAAATCTCAATGCGGAAAAATATCATGCTGGATATCTATACTGATATGGACTGGATAATGTGTTATGAACATAAGGATGCCCCATCGTTTGATGGAAATGAAAATGATCAACCTACAGGGGACTGAATTCCAACATACACCGAAAATCTAAGTGAAAAAATGATGCAGCATGCTAGTCCATTTTGCTGAAATTTCATTGCAGCCACTCAAAATAGTACTGGATAGTTTGTATGGCCCCCATGTGCTTGTATGCATGCCTGACAACGTCGGGACATGCTCCTAATGAGATGACGGATGGTGTCCTGGGGTATTTCCTCCCAGATCTGAACCAGGGCATCACTGAGCTCCTAGACAGTCTGAGGTGCAACCTGATGGCTTCAGATGGACTGAAATAAGATATCCCAGAGATGTTCTATTGGATTTAGGTCAGGTGAGTGTGGGGGCCATTCAATGGTATCCATTCCTTCATCCTCCAAGAACTGCCTGCATACTATCGCCTCATGAGGCCAGGCATTGTCGTGCACCAGGAGGAACCCAGGACCCACTGCATCAGCGTAGAGTCTGACAATGGGTCCAAGGATTTAATCTCGATACCTAATAGCAGTCATGGTGCCATTGTCTAGCCTGTAGAGGTCTGTGTGTCCGTCCATGGATATGCCTCCTCAGACCATCCCTGACCCTCCACCAAAATAGTCATGCTGAACAATGTTACAGGCAGCATAATGTTCTCCACGGCTTCTCCAGACCCTTTCACATCTGCCACATGTGCTCAGGGTGAACCTGCTCTCATCTGTGAAAAGCACAGGACACCAGTGGCAGACCTGCCAATTCTGGTGTTCAATGGCAAATGCCAATTGAGCTCTATGGTGCCGGGCAGTGAGCACAGGGCCCACTAGAGGACGTTGGGCCCTCAGACCACCCTCATGATGTCTATTTCTGATTGTTTAGTCAGAGACATTCACACTAGTGGCCTGCTGGAGGACATTTTGTAGGGCTCTGGCAGTGTTCATCCTGTTCTTCCTTGCACAAAGGAGCAGATACCGGTCCTGCTTATGGGTTAGGGACCTTCTAGGGCCCTATTCAGCTCTCCTAGAGTAACTGCCTGTCTCCTGGAATCTCCTCCATGCTGGGAGACACAGCAAACCTTCTGGCAATGGCACGTATTGATGTGCCATCCTGGAGGAGTTGGACTGCCTGTGCAACCTCTGTAGGGTCCAGGTATCACCTCATGCATTCATTTAGGGAACAATTTAGCCAATTTGTAAAATAAAAGCCGTACCTCACCTTAAAATTCAATCATCAAAAATGTAAACATACAGTTGGTGCGCATCTCCACATGTATAACAATACACTTGTGAACCTTCTCAATACAAAAAGGCTAACAAACCACAATTAGATAATAAATCAGTGCAATCTGCCATATGAAAAGTGAAATGAGCCATATAAAAAGTGAAAAAGTGCTCAGTCCAACCTGTATTCTCCAAGATTCAATCAAATCTTGAAAGGTGATGAGCAAACGTGATTCCTCCACCAAATAAATGACCAGCCTCTTACCAAAAATATTGCTCTTACTTTCCACAGATCAATACATTCTAGTACTCAGCACTCATTTCACTGTTAGGATACTTTCACCGCCTCCTCAGCATAATGTGACAGACACCAAAAGGAATCTTCTTGTGCAATAAATAGATATTCCCTCCAGAGGAGAAGATCAAAGGACCGCAAGGATGTTGTATCCTAAAACAATTTTTCATGTAATCACTTACACGCCGCCCTATAGCAGAAATATTACTACAGGGTGGGACGGGTGCGCAGAATCTCGTACCCACGCCTCCATTCGTGGCCTCGGCTGTCAATCACTGGGTCCCGGCCGGTGATTTTTTGCCGGCACCCGGTGATCACTAAGTATTACTGACGAGGGAGAGACCTGTGTATAAACAACACAGATCTTTGCCGTGTCAGCTCCTGCACACTGCTTTGTATGGCTCTGCATAGCAGAGCCATACAAAGCAGGGTCCTTACAGGGAAACACAGCACACACTAAAAAAAAAAAAAAAACAGCACACAGTTAATCCTTTGATCGCCTCAGATATTAACCCCTTCCTGACCAATGCCATCAGTACAGTGTCAGTACTTTTTATTAGCACTGATCACTGTATTGGTGTCACTGGGGAAGTCAGTGACACAAAATCAGTTCCCCCCCCAGTGTCAGAATGTCCGCCGCAGTCCCGCAGTACAGCTATAAGTCTCTGATCGCCGCCATTACTAGTAAAAACAAAAAATTTCAGTATATATACCACCATTTGTAAACGTTATAACTTTCACATAAACCAATTGATTTACAAGTATTGGGATTTTTTTTAGCAGACCTGTAGCAGAATACATTTTGGTCTAAATGTATGACGAAATTAGATTTTTTAAATTTTTTTACTGGACATGTTTAATAGCAAAAAGTCAAAAATATTGTTTTTTTTCTCAAAATTGTTGGTCTTTTTTTGTTTATAGCGCAAAAAATAAAAACACAAAGGCAATCAAATATCACCAAAAGAAAGCTCTATTGGTAGGAAAAGAGGACATAAATTTCATTGGGATGCAGCGTTGCATGACCACGCAATTGTCAGTTAAAGTAACACAGAGCCATATCGCAAAAAATGACCTGGTCAGGAAGGGGGGTAAGTCCTCTGGAGGGCAAGTGGTTAAAGTAAACAGACATATACTCACAAACATAAGAAGTATAGGAGCACATAAGAAAGAGTCACCAAAGCATTGAGAGTCAGCATGTATATGACATCAACAGCTAGGCCCTGCCCAACATGTTTCGCCACCAATCGGCATCAACAGGGGAATGGAGTTTCAAAAATGTACTGATTGTAAATCATTGGGGTTTATTCAATATAGTAGCAAAGGATGTTCACATAGCAAAGTGAGTGTTCAAATTGTAGATAAACGTTCATTTAGCTTAGTGAATAAGGTGAAATTTGCTACCTTTAAATAACCAATTATATGCATGTTCATAAAAATAAAAAATGTAATTATACTTGTTTATGATTGGATGAGTGAAAGGAATACAACTTAAGTAAGAAAACATTCATTTGCGCCTTTAGTAAATCAACCCTACTATTTTACATTCCCATACAGTCATGTTGATAAAGATTTTCTGTGGAACTTTTGCTAAATCCTCAGAGAAGTTGGCCCGTGCGTGGCCAGCCTTACTCTTAATTCTAGATTGTTTGAAGAGTGTTTATTTTTAGAGCTGAACAAAGCCAACAGTTGGGAGGATTATACTGGTGTTGGACAATAGTAATCTTTGCAGTGGCCACAATGGTAAGCTCCTTAGCTGAACACATGCCATCTAAACACAGAGGCACAGATCAGTTTGTAAGTGGGATGGAAAGCTATGAACAGTGAAGCAAGCTGTGCAGTAGCAGATTGAGCATATTTATTACAGTTAACACAACAGGACATGGCAAAGAGCCCATTCGTAAATACATCTTCTCAATTCTCATGGATACTCTCTCCTGGCAGATCAGATAAAAGCTAATTCTGTTTGGCTCAGCAAGACAGATTTAAATATAATTTCCAAATTCATCTTTTATTCTAAGATTTTAGTAGTAAACGATTAACAAAGAAAAATAAATACATAAGTTAAAAAAATGTAATTAATAAAAAAAAATTAATTAATAAAAATGTATATATATATATATATATATATATATATATATATACATATTTAATTGATTTATGTGTGTGTATATATATATATATATATATATATATATATATATATATACATACAGTGAAGGAAATAAGTATTTGATCCCCTGCTGATTTTGAATGTTTGCCAACTCACAAAGAAATGATCAGTCTAAAAATCGAATGATAGGTGTATTGTAACACTGAGAGACAGAATAGCAACAAAAATTCAAAAGAAATGCATGTCTAACAAATTATGCACTGATTTGCATGTTCATGAGGGAAATAAGTATTTGATCCCCTTCACGAAACATGACTTAGTACTTGGTGGCAAATCCCTTGTTGGCAATCACAGAGGTCAGACGTTTCCTGTAGTTGGCCACCAGGTTTGCACACATGTCAGGAGGGATTTTGGTCCACTTCTCTTGGCAGATCCTCTCCACGTTATTAAGGTTTGGTGGTTGACGTTTGGCAACTCGTATTTTCAGCTCCCTCCACAGATTTTGAATTGGATTAAGGTCTGGAGACTGGCTAGGCCACTCCAGGACCTTAATGTGCTTCTCCTTAAACCACTCCTTTGTTGCCTTGGACATGTGTTTTGGATAATTGTCATGCTGGAACACCCATCCACAACCCATTTTCAATGCCCTGGCTAAGGGAATAAGGTTCTCACCCAAGATTTAAGAGTACATTGCCCCATCCATCATCCCTTTGATGCAGTGCAGTTGTCCTGTCCCCTTAGCAGAAAAACACCCCAAAGCAGAATGTTTCCACCACCATATTTGACAGTTGGGATGGTGTTCTTAGGGTCATAGGCAGCATTCCTCCTCCTCCAAACAAGGCGAGTCGAGTTGATGCCAAAGAGCTCGATTTTGGTCTCATCTGACCACAACACTTTCAACCATTCCTCCTCTGTATCATTCAGATGTTCAGTGGTAAACTTGAGACAGGCCTGGACATGTGCTTTCTTGAGCAGAGGGACCTTGCGGCACTGCAGGATTTCAATCCGTGTCGGCGTCAGTGTGTTACTAATTGTTTTCTTGGTGACTGTGGTCCCAGCTGCCTGGAGATCATTGACAAGATCCTCACGTGTAGTTCTGGGATGATTCCTCACCGTTCTCATGATCATTGCCACTCCACGAGGTGAGATCTTGCATGGTGCACCATACCTAGGGAGACTGACAGTTGTTTTGTGTTTCTTCCATTTGCGAATGATTGCACCAACTGTTGTCACCTTCTCACCAAGCTGCTTGGCAATAGTTTGGTAGCCCAGTCCAGCCTTGTGTAGGTCTACAATCTTGTCCCTGACAGCCTTGGACAGCTCTTTGGTGTTTGCCATGGTGGAGAGTTTGGAATCTGATGGTTTGATTGCTCCTGTGGACAGGTGTCTTTATACAGGTAACAAAATGAGATTAGCAGCACTCCCTTTAAGAGACTGCTTCTAATTTCAGTTTGTTACCTGTATGAAAGACACCTGGTAGCCAGAAATCCTGCTGAATGATAGGGGATCAAATACTTATTTTCCTCATGAACATGCAAATCAGTGCATAATTTGTTAGACATGCATTTCTTTAGAATTTTTTGTTGCTATTCTGTCTCTCAGTGTTACAATACACCTACAATTTGATTTTTAGACTGATGATTTCTTAGTGAGTGGGCAAACATTCAAAATCAGCAGGGGATCAAATACTTATTTCCTTCACTATATATATATATATATATATATATATATACACACACACACTCTCACGCACACCCACAGAGTTGAATTAACATTTAGATATTTTCAGACTTCAAGATATCAAGCAGTTATTTAGGAACAGGTTTATTTTGTGCTTCAAGTTTCTGTTAGAGTTAATAATATTTCATTTAAAATTATCCTGGCTTGAAGTGCAGGATATGTTCTGGCACATTTAATATTGTGTTTTGAAAGGCAAACTAATCTTTTTCTTTTTAGATATTCATGGGAATGTGATCAGTCTAAACTTTATGCATACTTTGCGCATTTAAGGCCAAGCATCAGGTTCACTTTAAAGTGGTAGTAAACTCATTTTTGTGAATTTTACCTACAGGTAAGCTTATAGTAAAACTTCCCTGTAGGTAAAATGAATATCTCCTAAACGTGTACTGTTTAGGAGATATTATATCGAGCAGCAGCCAGTGATGTCGCCAGCACATGCGCTCTGAAGGAATGGCAAACCCATGCTGTTCCTACAGAGCTTTGTGCCGTGCCCAGGGCTCCTGCACGCATGGGCGGAAGCGACGTCAACGAGGTTCGACTAATCAGACAGCCAGAGCCCGCAAACCCAAAAGATGGACATCCTGTCAACTGCAACAGCGTGCCACTGGAGGGCTTTGTTTTAAGGTACATTTTTCATAATGTGCTTTGGTATTATGCAATGCATGCTAGCACATTATGATATTGCCTTGCAGGGGGAAAATCTTTTTTTAAGCTTTACTACCACTTTAACACTGGCCTGACTTGCTGAATATACCTACCATCTCTTTTCTCTTCTGCTCTGGTCCTGCTGTTGGAAGCCTGGGAGCATTAGCCCTGTGTAAGCTCTATATCGCAGTTTGGAGCTTACACAGTGCTGAGAATTCTCTCACTGAGTGCCTGCGTGGCCAGTCACCAAGCTTCAGCACTGTTGTGTGGGAGGCAGGGGCGGACTGACCATTTGGAAACTCGGGCACTGCCCGAGGGCCCGGGGTCAGTAGGGGGCCCCATGAGATGCCCCTGGTACCTTTTTCATAGGCTTTTTTGAGTTTGGGCAAGGACACAGGGGCCCCATGATCCCCTATTGCCCGGGGGCCCTATGAGTTGTCAGTCCGCTCCTGCACAGAACCAAAGTTTAGAGTGCACCCAAGCACCACAGTTTATAGTGCACTCAAGCAACACTCCCCCCCATACAAATCTTCCAATAGCTACAGAAAAAGTAGGACATAAACCCCACATTATAAGCATCATGTCTACAGGAAGAGGCAGAAGTTCCCATGCAGCTATGCCAGAAAAAGAAGGCCTAAGCAGTGGTGCAATATCTGCAGACAGGGCTATTTTGCCATTTTTTGGATGATGGGGGGGCCCTGGGTATGCTATACGGCCCAAGTACGCAGAGGAAAAGGTGGAGTGACTAACCATGCCTTCATCACCCTCCTCTTCTGACACCCAGGTGCCCCATGAGTTGTCAGTCCACCCCTGGTGGGAGGATACACTAACCGGAAAGTATCAGGTAGTTTTCTCACTCTGGGAGCCAAACAGAGCTAGAATGTGCATAATGTTAACTCAAGGCAACAAGAGTCAGTTGTTTGCTTTTATTATCCAGCAAGCATTGTTACTAATGTAAAGGCATAAAGCTTACTTACAGTGACATTAAAGTCTATTTTTTTCCATAAGATAGATAATAATCAAACTTGCATGTATTTACTACCTTTTCTACAAAGAAAAGATCCTCCTCTGCATTTACTTTTTAAAAAGTGCCACGCACACACACAGACAGCACAAAACGGATTCACAGATGACAAACCATGCATCTCTTCCCCCTCCACAGCGATGATTGACA